TTTATGTCCGACCTCCCCTTCTCGTTGTCGGAGGCCTTCAGTTCGGTTATCCCGTCCAGTTTTGGACTCTTGTCCTGTTTGTCCACTTTGATCATCCTGCTGATGTAGGCCTGAGCCAGACTCGAGCTCCGGGCCTGGCGGGTCTCATCTGGACCCCCTGCCGTCTGACTGTCGTTTTTGGAGTTCTTCCGACCCTTCCCGGTGGTGAGACTTTCCCACACCGTCCCTCCGTATCCAGCATTGTTGTTATTAATGTTCCGACCCAGCTCCGAGGCGGAGTTTTTCCTGTTTCTCCCTGCTAACAGACCCCCCACTCCCCCTCCATCTTTGCGCTGGTTCCCCTTCAGGCTGTCTCGAGAGAACGCGTGTTTGGGTCGGGTTTGTGGGCCAGATTCGGAGGCCGAGCGGACTCTTTCGTGTCCGTTTTTAAGGTTGATGATGGGCAAGTCTCGGAACCACTTCGCCATGACGGACTGGACTCGAACGTCTCGCGGAGTTTTAAAAGCGGAGGGGTTTACGGCTTACTGCGCCTCCTCAGCCATGCGCAACAGCTCCAACTTTACGCACAGCTGTTCCGCGCGCCTCCGCGTCCTAAAACGTGTTAAAACATTTAAAACACCAAGCTCTATCTAAACATCCAGTTATAAACGTGAAACTGTTTCGATACCACGAGGATTTAGAGTCAGAACCGATCCGGCGCGGACAAATCCTGGCGCGCGTCTTGGAGTTCTCTTGTTTCTGCCCCGCGTTTCTCCAGCTGCAGCCCACCACAACTACCCCCGCAGCTTGAAGAGCAACTTCTGCAGCGCGAAGACTCTAAAAAACTGGAAGTTTTTCTTTGAGCCCAGTGAAGATCCCATTCCCTGATCGTGAGTCGCTGCGTCCAGTCTGCCGACCAACCGACGGGAGGAGGTGGAGAGAAGGAGAGCTGGAGCTGCGCGACCGACCCGGAGTCTGGGGAGGAGGAGCTGCATGGACCAGAGGTGTGGAGGGCGGAGTGGGACTTTTGCTCAAATATGGATGTAGAATAGACCATTTTGTACTTTTCTGCGCGCACAGCATTGTGGGTAGGGGTCAGAGGTTATTTGGTAAAATAAAATAAATAAACAAGAATAAAAGATTTAAAAAATTGCAACACAAATAGATTAAATAATGTTTTGTATGAGACACCAAGTGTAAAATAAAATGTTTAAAAATGTCACAAATATGAGTGTAAAAAATGTTCACCAAAATTATAGAGCTCACTGTTCTTACACACACACACACACACACACACA